AATTTTTTTTTAATTTCCAAACTGCATTGTTCCTTTCAAGCATGCAAGGTTTACTGTGACCCGAACTATACATATAGTAGGTGTCAGAATTTAGCTTATTTCGGCAGCAAAGCATGCGTTTCAGTCTGAAGGGCGGTATAACCATTATCCAATGATGCTAGTAAGGAAGTCCGGCTTGGGAATGAGCTCCCCTCAACGGTGTTTCCCGAGCGCTATGACATATCCTTCTTCAAACGAGGCTTGTGGAGAGTATTAAGCGGTAGGCAGCGGCTTGGCTCTGCCCACGGCGTTGCTGTTGTCCATGAGCGACGGTGACCACTTACCATCAGGTTGGGCGTATGCTCGTCTGCCTGCTCGGACAATAAAGAAAAAAAAAGCATTTTGTGAATAGTCCGCCCATCAAAAGCAAAAACAATTTTGTTAATAACATCTAAAACATAAAATTACTTTCTCGAACACGGATATACAAAAATATCGCGTGACTGGAACGTACTACATTTGAATAAGACCCTCTCGTTTGACATTATCTGAAGTACAGTCAGCTAGATAAGTTTTAAAACAATAATTATTTAATTGAACCTTTTGTTACAATTCTGTTGGATTGGAAATTATAACAAAGAAGTAAGATAGTGTTCACTAAGCAAGCAGTCTCAGTTAACATATATTTGATGGAATTACAATGGAACCTGATGTCGTATAGGTTGATTTATAACACACTTTTTTAATCATATTACATTTTTTTTTTTATTGCTTAGGTAGGTGAACGATCTCACAGTCCACCTGGTGTTAAGTGGTTACTGGAGCCCATAGACATCCACAACGTAAATGCGCCACCCATCTTGAAATATAAGTTCCAAGGTCTCAAGTAAATTATCTTATTTGATTGACTCGGTGATGCAATAGTTAGAACTTAGCTATCGCCGAGGGTCGCAGGTTCCATTCTCCACATCGGGCATAATATATCTCTGATTACCATAGTACAGGGAATCCTAATTTGAGGCTGGATTTTTTAATTTTGTTTTATTGCTTAGTAGGTGGACAAGCTCACAGCCCACCTGATGTTAAATGGTTACCTACATCGAGATAATACTTCTAAGGTCTCAGTTTTTATAGTTATAACGGCTACCCCAGCCTTCTAACCGAAACGCATTACTGCTTCACGGCGGAAATAGGCGGGGTGGTGGTACCTACCCGTGCGGACTCCCAAGAGGTCCTACCACCAGTGATTATGCAAATTATAATTTTGCGGGTTTGGTTTTTTATTACACGATGTTATTCCTTCACCGTGGAAGTCAATCGTGAACATTTGTTGAGTACGTATTTCATTAGAAAAATTGGTACCCGCCTGCGGGTGACGAACACCGGTGCATCGCTAGATAAGAATGCACCCGACGTCTTATCCTTTAGGCCACGACGACTTCGGATGACCAAATGTGGCTTGTTCTTGGGCATTATTATTGAATGTTATTAATTGCGATATGAAATAATATACGTCTAGTTCTGTAGCAGGATTACAATTATCGGACACGTGGAAAATAGGTATTTAAGACTTTTCATAATTCAAAGGGCAAACGCTTTATTTCAGAGTCTAGTCGCGCTGAAGTTTTTGATTTCATTGGGATTTTATTTGAGCTTCCATATTTTACACAAACAAGGCTTGGATTAGTCACTTAATACCCTTTTCATTCGTAGTGAGCTTCAAATACGAAAGAGCCAAGATATATAGCTAGAATTCAGTATTTACTTATTGTAAGCTATGATTTTGTAAACAGTTACTGGAGTCTAATAATTAATTGCGTTAATTCAGCCGCTGTCTTACTCTTTAAACCGCAACGCGTCATTGCTTCACAGTATTCCTCGCCGGATCTTCTTACTAATTCGCTATTCTGATCTGGTGGTAGACTTAGCGAAACACTGCTCTTGCTAGGGCAGATGTCTTTCAGGCTGAGTCCCTGAGCTGAGCTGAGTAAGCTCACCTACCAGTCAAGGTAAAATAGCCCCTCGAGGCTGCTGACAGAGAGGTAGGCAATAAAAAATGGCGTGTACTGTACGGTTTTGGTTCGGTTAACTCGGTAGTATCCCTGGCAGACTCTTAGTGGCCTCGTCAACAAATTGATGCCATGATGGTTTGCAATAATGCCAATCACGAAATAAAGAGCGAGTCGATATAAGTGGCAAATATATCGAATTTCGGTTAGTTAAGATTTTTTTTTAATCGCAATCTCCAAACTTTTTGTGCAATTCTAGTCTCTGAGAAAACTACCGAGACTTCTTTTGCTGACTGTACATAATAACAGTTGAAAGATTAACCACAGCTTGCGCTGTAAGTACGGCGGGATTAGTAACGATAAAACACTGTTATTCTCTAACTGTGTCAGAAGGTTTCAGTCTTGGGAATTTCTTTATAAAAAAATAAAAATTGTGACTTTATATCTGTTTAGTAAAATATTTGTTATTGGGTCGTACCTTGTGCCTACAGCACATCAGTATTGGCTATATTATCTTATACCTTTAAACGAGCAATTCTTGTATATTAATATATATGTATATAATCTGAATCTCGGAAACGGCTCCAACGATTTTCATAAAATTTAGTATACAGGGGATTTTGGGGGAGATAAATCGATCTAGCTACGATTTATTTTCAGAAAATGTTGTTTTCTTCGTGTTTTCAATAATCAACTCTTCCCGACATCTATTGGCGAATAATAATACTATTTTTCTTAATTGAGGGCAACTAACCGCTTTAAAGACACAACAAGATGGCGTTATCAAGAAAAAAAAAAGAGCAAAGCTCGGTCATCATCTAGTTCTAATAAAAGGACGTGTCCACAGAACACTGTCACTTGTTTCATTAACAATACTAGTGGTCCCGCAATAGTCGAAATTCGAATTTAATCAATTGAAATTTTATGTTTAAACATTATTATGGTTCTATTGTCAAATACTATTGTACTTATATATTATAATCACAGATTTCTCTAAAACTACTCTATACATCAATAATAATAAAGAAAAACAATATTCATATCATTATATTCTCAATTTGACCACACACTTTAAACACTAACAAAAGTTTGACAATTGACAATAAACAAAGGATATATGTGTTGTGTCACATACATGGTGGTGTGTGTAATATTTTCTTTATTAATTTAATGTAGGTATCTTATAAGCGTTATTTTAAAAAAATATTAAAATTGTGCACTTTTCCTCTATATTGTCTTTATGTGTCGAAAACATAATACTACTCCGTCCGCGCAATTTTCGTAAAAAGGGGTACAAAGTTTTTGCTTCACGTATTAATATATAGATTCGCTCACCATATTTGGACGGCTACACAATCGTAACCATATACAGCACAAACTGACGAGCTTGATGTGCACGTGTAAGATGGAGTTCATTCAGATTGTGGTGTTTTTTTCCCTACCTATTTGCTGGTAGTCTAAGAGGCTATTACAGCTACGCTCAGAAGGGTAGGTGAGCTTGCGGATTCGACCTGAGAGCATTTGCTAACACTAGCCCTAGTAAGAGCATTGCTTCACAGAATCACTGGTGGTAGGACCTTTTGTGAGTCCGTGCAGGTAGGTACCACCGCCCTGCCTAGTTCCTGTCGTGAAGCAGTAATGCTTTTCGATTTGAAGGCTACCCCACGTAGCCGTTGTAACTATAATGAGACCTTAGAACTTATATCTCATGGTGGGTGGCGCATTTACGTTGTAGATGTCTATGGGCTCCAGTAACCACTTAACAACAGGTGGGCTGTGAGATCGTCCACCCATCTAAGCAATAAAAAAAACATTCAGAAATATTTAGTGAATTGCTATTGTTGACCTTATCTTGGTATAGAAAGATATCTTATAATTTCTAAATCATAACTATTCAGCAAGCTTTCTTCAACAAAGTGTCACACGTGAGTGCATTTTACAATCGAGATCTCATAAACTCATGTTACAATTCCCATTGGACCTATTGTAAGAAGAGGACTCTAATTGTTCGCTTTCCATCTGATTGTTTCTATTTTATTGTTTTTAAATAAGCACTTTTTTCATTGCGATAGCGTTATTCGGCAAGCCTAGTTGATTGTAAGGACTTGCAACAACTCTAGAGACATACATCCTCACTGAATATTTTTAACGCGTTTAATGTTTAATTATTTTAAGCACTTTATATATTTTTTGTTAGGTATAAAAAGTTAGGTATATAGTAATAAATAAGGTACTAAGTAATGCTATACTAAGTAAGGTAACTATTGTAAACGTTAATCATGTATTGTCTCCTATTTGGCTGGAAATTATATTGAAATGAGCTTACAGAATATTACATTGATATAGATATTGTCACTTTTGGTTGTGTGCAGTTGAAAATATCTCATCCACCCTGTCTATTTCTGCCGTGAAGCACTAATGCGTTTTGGTTCGAAGGGCGGGGCAGCCGTTGTAACTATACTGAGACCTTAGAACTTATATCTCAAGGTGCTTGGCGCGTTTACGTTGTAGATGTCTATGGGCTCCAGTAACCACTTAACACCAGGTGGGCTGTGAGTTCGTCCACAAATCTACGAAAAAAAAAAAATATTCACGAAATAGATATAGTATTGTAATCACTGCTTTTTTTTCTTCAGAATTTTGTGTTAAAATTGAAAAATTGTTGGTACATCTAGATGAAATTGGACTTTTTTGGTATGATTTATCGACATTACAAGACGTGGTTATCAACTATCATAATTTAAAGCTTTTCAAATGTTAAGTTTTGAATCTAAGCTGGTTCTAGTGTATTAAGCACATCTACGCGCGTTCATTGATGTAAATCAAATCTATGAAATTGATCAAAAACTTGTAGACGATGAAGAAATCCCAAGAAAACACCAAAAAACTAACCACGTAACCATCGGTCGTTATGCTTCTGATATGTAAATTTGTTTAACGAATATTAATGGTGAGTAACAAAAACACAAAGGCCCTAACTCTAGGCCTAGTTGTAAAATAGTTAATTCATACCTTAGCTGTGATGAGAGCCTTTCCAGCAAGCACGAATAATCCCGCCATCGCCATGGGAATCATGGCGACCATCTTCATAGCAGCTCCCATCATCATCATCCCCATCATCTTCTTCATCTTACCCCGTCCTGAAACCCATTGAAAGTCAAATCAGATAAAGCATTCTGAAAAACTTGGAGCTCTATGGTATATCTGTGGATGGACGCATGGTTTCAAAGTCCACCTGATTCTAAGTGGTTACTACTACCCACAGAAAACACAAAGCCGTCATTGACTTCAAAAAACATATCCAAATCTATATCCAAGCATAGCTGCTCTTCCAATGGGAATGCAATCATTGAAGAAATCAACTTAATGGTGACATCAACCCATGATGGCTTTAAGTCCGAAGTTAGTACTCTAGATAGGTATTAGAGAATGAGGATCACACAAAGGTTCAAGAGTCAGTGACTTTCAGCTAGGTTGTGCCTCTGTGTTATGGACATGATAAGCTAAACGGTGCTTCCCGAGCGCTGTGACATGTCCTTCTTCAAACGAGGCTTGAGGAGAGTATTAAACGGTAGGCAGCGGCTTGGCTCTGCCCCTGGCATTGCTGAAGTCCATGGGCGACGGTAACCATCCACCATCAGGTGGGCCGTATGCTTGTCTGCCTATAAGGGCAATAAAAAAGACACCCAGGACCAACATACTACGAGCACCTTAACTCCGTTGTAGCAGATACAGAGACTAATGAAAATTGCGATGGAAGAATCACAACACTCCACTGAAAAAAATCAAGCCGACATGTAATTGTAGTTTCCTTCCTGCACGTAAAACAATAAATCAATAAAAAAACCGTACTTCCGATTTGCTTCGTTAATTACATAGGAAGATAGCTAACTAGCGTTTCAATATTATGTGTATTAGTAAAAATGCTGCTACACGAACATTATTAACTTCATTATATCCGCGGTCGAAAAGTATCCGGTGTATTGAAACGTAAGCATGTGAAAGAATCCGGTACACGATAATGCGAATAAGTTATAGACTTTACTGGTGAGTCTACGGATTATCACAGAGAAAGCGTCAGCTCACGTAGGAACTTATAAATCACACATTCTGTGTGCTTAGTGCGAGTTTTATTCCCGATCCTGCGGACAGAATGGAAAGCAGTGGACGTCGCCCAAAACACGTCATTTCGAATCCTCCCTATCCACTAACGGTGCTTTTAGGTACCTCAAACACCGGTCATCGTTCTCGTCGAACCCGTCGCTTGCGACGAAGGGCTCGACGAGTAAATTAATCCACAGACACAGCCCACTGAGTTTCGCCGGACTTCTCAGTGGGTCGCGTTTCCGATCCGGTGGTAGATTCTGCGAAGCACGACTCTTGCTAGGGTTCGTGTTAGCTTCGTCGTCAGGTTTGAGCCCCGTGAGCTCACCTACTAGTTAAGGTTACGCTGAAATAGCCTCTCAAGGCTATCAGCTTAGGTAGGAATAAAAAAAAGCGAGTTTATTATCGTTCTCGATAGCGTAAAAGTTAACTCAAATTTGCATGCAGTTGGAACAGCGCCCCTAGCGGCAAACGTAGGTAAACGTTCCAACTCCATACAAATTTGAGTTAACTTTTACGTTATCGAGAACGTTAAAAAACTCGCACTAAGCACACTGAACCTTTATGATTCTAACAAAATTCTAGACAAATTGACACGGTCATTACCAACAACAAAATCAACTTGCAATGACTTTATAATAATGTCCATTATGTGTTTACAAAGATCGTTGAAGTTATCACAGTGCTGATGGGGAGTGATGATGATGCTAATTGACGTCATGTGGTCAGCTAATGTGTGCGCCGGCGAGTTCTCACGGTGGAGGGCTCTGAATGGTCCCACAGACCATATTTTGAGTCAAAAAGGTTTGAGTAGAGGCAAAGTTGCGTTGACTGTTATCTATACTTCTATATCTATACTAATATTATAAAGAGGAAAGATTTGTTTGTTTGTTTGTTTCGAATAGGCTCCGAAACTACTGGACCGATTTGAAAAATTCTTTTTCCATTAGAAGCCGACATTGTCCCTGATGAACATAGGCTACTTTTTTTTATTTTTTTTATATTTTATTTTTTTGGTTTCATGTGTGTTTTAATGTTTCTGAAGCGAAGCGAAGGCGGGTCGCTAGTTGTTTATATAGACGGATGATCCCACCCGGTAAGTGATTATCCGGTTCAAGGATATCATAAAACAAATGTCTACACGTTTGTGATCTATTATCTCAATTGTTTGCTTATGTTGATTTTTGAAATTTTTTATAAATTATTTTTTGATTTCCGTCCATACCCACGAGACGGCTGTATAAAAAAGGTAGGCAGCCAAAATGTCGGGAAGATGAAATAAAGAGTATAGCCGGCCATATTAGAGTCGAATGGCCAAAAAATAGAGATATTGGAAATCTTTAGAGGATGCTTTTGTCGAGAGACAAGCTGTTTTGAAAACCACACCGAATGCCCAACGGAATACTTAAATTAAGTCATTCTAAAGTAACTTATTAAGTTATTAATTATTAAATAAAACAACAATAAAGGCTTATTAATTTATTTTATCTCAATTGTATAGTAATTACGGAAATTAAAATATTTGGGAGTTTGATTTATTACATGATCTCATTACATCATCATCTAAGACATTTGCGAGGAGGTGTCAGGCATTTATTCTAAAATCTGTTACCCGCCTACGGTATTAGAAGACCGGCATAGCCATAGAAGTTTACAGACTAAATTTATCCTTTTTTTCCACGACCACTTTATTTCGTGATATGAGGTCAATAGAGCGATTCTTATTTTCAGGCGAGGTGCAGCATATTTTTCTTATTCTAGTCGAAGAGGGGGAGGAACTGAAGATTTCTTTGAAGACCTATCCTTCAAATATATCGGCACTATCTTCTCGCATTTTTCACTACATTAAAAAGAAAACCTATCATCGATTGAGAGGCGCAAGCTGTTAAGTACCATTTATATTCGCCATAAACAATAATAACGTTATGATCATCATAATTATTATAATAAATTTTCTATGTCAATGTCTGAGTCGTTATATTAATGAATTAGAAATGGTCTACTTTCGAGCTAAGTATATATAAAGCGCTTTCAATTCTTTCCAATGTCATTTTTTTTTTTTTTATTGCTTAGATCGGTGGACGAGCTCACAGCCCACCTGGTGTAAAGTGGTTACTGGAGCCCATGGATATCTACAACGTAAATGCGCTACCCACCTTGAGATATAAGTTCTAAGATCTCATTATAGTTACAACGGCTGCCCCACCCTTCAAACCGAAACGCATTACTGCTTCACGTCAGAAATAGGCAGGGTGGTGCTACCTACCCGCGCGGACTCACAGAGGTCCTACCACCAGTAAGGTTTACTTTAGACCAATTAAATGATCTTCCCAATGTCTTCTAATGCAAAAGAATTGTATACTACCATTTTTACTGTAGTCTCTCTGTTATAGTATGTATCCACCTTTGATTTCACATAAAGTCTATAAATACTAATCCATGGGGGAGCAATTAATACTTTAATGTAAACTGAAGATATTATTTATTTCCTAAGCTTGGTAATTTATAGTGGCTTAAGACACAATATAAAGTGGGCAACAAAAAGGAATATTGCTCAAACGATATGGTAGGTTCTTGGCAGAAATAGGCTGAATATAGGACCGCAGGATTCGCAGTATGGGATATACTCATATACATTACAAAAGAAAATAGATAAGTAAACAGAGAAGCAGCAGGTAGTAGAAGATCCACGGAATCTGTATAGCATGCTCGAATTATGGAGTAAATTAAAAAAAATTTAGATAGGCGGATGAGCTTACAACCCACCTGGTGTTAAGTGGTTATTGGAACCCATAGACATCTACAACGTAAATGCCGCCACCCACCTTGAGACATAAGTTGTAAGATCTCAGTATAATTACAACTACTGCCCCACCCTGCAAACCGAAACGCGTTACTGATTCACGGCAGAAATACGCAGGGTTGCGGTAACTACCCGTGCGGACTCACAAGACGTCATACCACCAGTAATTACGCAAATTATAATTTTGTGAGTTTGATTTTTATTACACGATGTTATTCCTTGACCGTAGTCTATTTTTAAGATCCTATAATTACATGTTAATTAAATTGAATTCAATTCCATTGTCCAAATGAAAGTAATTGTGTTGGATTGTAACTCATATAACATTAATTTTAAACACACATATCAAACAAGCGTCGATAGTGATCTACACGCGATAGTTAATACGACTTAATAGTATATTTATTTATGCTCCAAAAACCATAAGATTTTTCGTAAAACAATGGCACATTTCACGGGACAGCGAGTCAGCGAGTACATATGATGAGCGCGCTAAACATACTCTTAAATTAGGGACAATTCGAAAACATTAACACATTTTAACCTCTCTGAACTCGTAAGGATTCTGTGAGATTTTTGTAGTTCTTTTTAACACATTAAACAAAGTCATTGTCTTAATATTTAACCGATAATGTTTCATATTTCAACAAAACAACACTTAACGAATGATTTTGTTCTAATTTTGATATGTGATATTTGACGTTGAATATAAACTGAGATATTTAATTTTTAAACTAATTAGGGCAAAAAAGTAGTTGTTTTCACAATACAGTATAAGTGTAATGAGGCATTATCACTTAGTTTGACTTCAGCTGCCAAATTTAATTGGAAATAATTAGTAATGAAGGGCGGTTTTAAATGTAACTAGAGGTCCCGCAGTAGTCGACATTCGACTATAATTAATTGGAATTGTAAGTTTGTACACTATTATGATTGTATTTTATACTTCTATAATCACAAATCTCGCCAAGACTACACTATAAAAATATATTAACAAAGACAAACAATATTTAATCTCAACTTGACAAGACGTCAAGAACAAAAGTTTGACAATAAATAGTATGCATGCGTGTGTGCGTCAAATACATGGTATGTAGTGTGTGTAATGTTTTCTTTATCGATTTAAAGTATCTTTTATGCATTCTTTTAAAAATATATTAGCATTGTGCACTTCTTCTCTATATTCTGTATAAGTATGGAAAATTTCATACTCCTCCGTTCGCGCAATTTTCGTAAAAAGGGATACAAAGTTTTTGCTTCACGTATTAATATATAGATACGAGTAAACGAAAAGTATCCTAATCTAGACTGAAAGATTGATAAATGTAAAAGGATGTCAAAGAATAAAAACGTTTGACTACTTTTGACAAAAATCGTCCGAATCTTAATTCCCTTATTTCGTGTTTGTGTGTATTTATTTATTGAAATCTCGAAATATTATAAATTTTATGTCAACGATTTGAAGAAATATTATTCTAATAACAACATAAATTCCTAAATACTTTAGTACTCATCAGAAACTGTAGCGTTCAACTTGAAATACTGTGTTTATGGATATCGGAGCCTATGGCTCTATCAATGATGGAAGTCGGTCTGGTGATCTGAATTTTACAAGGAGGGTTCTTTTCGTGAATCTAATTATACTAACGTTACGCTTTGGAGTAAATAAAACTTACCTTCTTCAACTCCTCTGTTTAATTCTGCGCCAGTCATCTTCGGCAAGGCTAGCTGTATTGTTCTCGAATTAGCGAAACTCGCCACTTTATCCCACAGCATTTGCGTTAAGGCTTCATTTTTATCCTGCAAATTCCTGGGGAGTGCCGCGTCTATCTCATTCTCGCTTATGGGAACGTTTTCATCTGTCTTCGACACCTTCACAACGTCCACTCCGTCTAGCAAAGGTATCGTTTCCATCCTGGCGGCCCGATCGAAGAACAATATAGCTTTCTTCTTCAAACATGGCAAAATCGCGTCCGATTTCTGACATTCATCGTATACTTTCGTGAGGTATTTATAGCTGAGGTCTTCTTTAGCAAATGTGGTAGTAAGAAGGACGGTTAGAAGGAGCACTGTGTACATTTTTTTTATGATGTTTTTTGCTCGGGCTTAAGTAAAGTACTGACGGATTGAGAGACAGTCGCGTTCATATTTATAGGGTATGATTTAACCGCGTAAAGCGAACATTGTACTTAGAGGCTGCTCGTGATCGGATGTGGCATTTTGAGCAGAGTTTTTTTCATATTTTTATACTGAAACTGAAGAGTTGCGGTGTAGTGACGAACAATATTTTTTTTTAAATTCTTCTCTTCTTAATTAAGCTTCCTTATTTCTAAAATAGTTATTAAAAAAAAAGCTCAAAGAAACTTCTACGGTATATATAGATTATGTGATTTGAAATAGTCGTACTAATGTCATTTTCCATACAGAAAACATGGGAGGGACATATATGGACTAAACATAGCGTTCAAAAGGCAGCAAGTAAAACCGGGAGAGAAGAGTTGTGGACCGGCTCAGTCACGCTTACAGGAAGAGGACATAGCCTCTGGTTGTTAATTTCAAATTTTAACTCCATACAACAAAGATACCTTCGTTTAATATTGAGACAAAAACCACATCCAAATACCATTTACATTTAGTTAGTCAATGTGATTACTCTCTTAACATATTTAACGCGTAGCAACAAAAGCTAATGTTATCGTTCACTTTTATCATTTAATGTAAAATCACAATTGTATAACAAGTACCTATTCCAACCTGCAACCAAAAATTGTATAAAAAGTATATTTAACAATACTAATAGCGGAAAGTTTGGGTTCGCGGTGTGACTAGAGCCCTACCATTAAGGTCGGCATTCAACAATATAACCAAGACATATGTAATTCGATTTTAATCTGAATAATTTTAATGTTAAAAATCATCGTTCGCATTTATTGATTTTATTCCTGTAGACGGCAATCAATAGTAACCTTAGATCGTACACTTATTTACATATTATTTATAAAATTGAAGAAATATTGGCGTTTTCAATAATTTCTTCTTAATCATTAATAACTTTTTTTTTTTTTTTATTGCCCTTGTAGTCAGACGAGCATACGGCCCACCTGATGGTGAGTGGTTACCGTCGCCCATGGACTTCAGCAATGCCAGGGGCAGAGCCAAGCCGCTGCCTACCGCTTAATACTCTCCACAATCCTCGTTTGAAGAAGGACATGTCATAGCGCTCGGGAAACACCGTGGAGGGGAGCTCATTCCATAGCCGGATGGAATTCTCTTTCAAATGCAGCCGCAAAGAGCAATGCGTAAATTTTATATTTCTCTTATATTGTCTTTAATCTATACATCTATACAAATAAATAAAATTGGAGTGTCTGTTTATAATATTGAAATAACCGCTTTTTACTACATGCGTATGAATATATATACGGTACATACACCAAAATAACATTTTTTAAAATTTTTCTCTGTCTGTCTGATTGTTCCGGCTAATCTCTGGAACGGCTGGACCGATGTTGACGAGACTTTCACTGATAGGTAGCTGATGATATAAGGAGTAACTTAGGCTACTTTTTTAGACTAGCTTCGCTTCGCGGCGTCACCCGCGATACAACAACTACCGCGGGTAACATCGCGGGACTCAGCTATCGATAATAAAATTTAATGTTTCCGAAGCGAAGCGTGGGCGGGTCGTTAGTTTGTCATAAAAGGGTAAAATAAATATCTCAAAACAATAAATTCAGGCCACGCTCAATTATCAAAATGCAACACTAGCCCTAGCAAGAGCAGTGGAATCGCGTAGCTTTGAAAGAGATTGAATAAAACACCATCAGAGGCACATACAGATAAATGTACTTGCCTCCTATCTCCTGACATGAATTCGAAGGGTCGTATTGTATTGACGGCAGCTCGTCAATCTCAACGCATAGCATCGCTGCAGAAGTGGACAGAGTGGTGGTACCTACACGTGGATATTATAGTATGCCTTTTAGACATACACGTAGGTCAGTCAGTCAAAACGTGGTAAAATAGAACAGTTTACAGAAATATTAAAATGGTCTATGTTATGTAGTCATTATCCTGTACTAATAAATACACCGATATGTATGCTATAGATATAATCAGATATACGCATAAAACCATATACAATCATAGATAAATATAAAATTTTTTGAAGTGAGTATTTACAAGTCACCAGCGATGAGCAACGGCTTAGCTATGCCCTTGGTATTGTTGGCGTATATGAACGACAGGAACAAAGATGTGCACTGTATTTTAGTTTACCTTCGAGTATTTTAGTTTACCTTCGAGCTTTTACAGGCGGTAGGACCTCTTGTGAGTCCGCACCGGTAGGTACCCTGCCTATATCTGCCGTAAAACAGTAATGCGTTTCGGTTTGAAGAGTGGGGTAACCGTTGTATTACCTTAGAACTAATATCTCAAGGTGGGTGGTGGTATTTACTTTGTAGATGTCTATGGCCTCCGGTAAACACTTAACACCAGGTGGACTGTGAGCTTTGATAGGCTACTTAAAAGGCCTAGAAAGGAAATTCTGTGTCCAGGTACGAATTATACATTTATTAATTCGAGTTTGTTTGTCCTGAAATATTTTCTGATTAATAGGAATTTAATTTATTTATTATTTTAAAATAACTTATTGTGTTATATTATGTTGTATGTATTAGTATAAGAATTTAACATGTGAGCTCCGCCAACCACTTAATAGCAGGTGGGCCGTAAGCTTGACTGCGCATCTCTGGCAATAAAAATTACGTGCATGTTTTTAAAGGTGATTTTAATTAAAATTACTACGTAAAAAACTAGTTAGATCGTGAATTTGAACCATTATTATTCATAGTTACACGAATTAATTGCATTTAGAGTAAAAGTGTGTAGAAACAAAAGCTTTCTCTGTCATTATCGTGAAGTTTACTTATTGTGGCTCAGTGGTGTCTTGCGTACTTCTGACTTGAGAGGTCGCAGGTTTGGGTTCAGGGCACGTGCCACTAAATGCTAATCGAAATGAGGTAACGCGAATGCTTTGAGGGCCACTGAGTTTCTGATCTGATTACACGGGTCAACACCAAATTTGATTTTGATTGCAAAGCATAAAATTTCTATATTTTAGATCTAGTAATTAGAGGGAAAAAATATACATGGCATGAAACAGTTTGCTTTTGAACTTTATAAATTGACCACATATGAAACAAAATGCATCAGCATCGTATTTACACTTTCGTGACATTTTTAAGTTTTTCTGGGCTTTTACAAAACACCTGATCGTTGCTTATGACTCGAGTGCCATCTAGTGGCACTGTGTAAACGTAAGCACCCCACTCTCATAGCGTGGTTTTTTTGAAAGTACTAAAATTAATTAAAATTTATAAAAAAATTGAAAAATAAGTATTATTACTATAATTATCACAAAAGCAAATTTTATACCAAAAAAAGGTATTTTATTTTTGTTTTTGTGAATAATTAATAACCGGAAAAACTTAGTGTAAACGATAGGACAAAGAACGAATTTTTTTGTAGAGTTGTGTTATTTCAGTGGGTTATGATTCCGATTCGCTGGTAGATTCGAGGTCTTCCAGGCACCTGAACCCTGTGATCTAACCAACACTTTTGGTGAAGCTAGCACAGCCCTTTGAGGCTACTGGCAATTAGTAGACAAAAACAAGAATGCTTTGACTATCATGTGAATGCATTTTAGGGAGACAAAACGAACTGAAACTAGTATTTAAAAACATTCTCCCTTGATCTATGAAAATCTCATTAGAATTGGTTACGCTGTTTCGATTAAGTTTCAAGCAGATAAAAGTAAAACCGTATCGCAATGTGAAATTAGACATTAAAAATAGTCAATTTGTTAAAAAAAAACATAAACAAACCCTTTAATCTTAAAGCTTTGTATTGATAACTCTAAAACGTCATGATGGGTAATCTGTGTGTGGGTAAGCATTCTTCAATTATCAGCACCTTAGGTTTTTTATGTTAAAATAATGACGGATACTAGGATAAGCTGTAAGCCCAAATCCCTGGGGGACCGACTCTTGAGGCTTTACAACTCCTGCCTCGAGTCGGGACGGTTTCCTTCATCGTGGAGGACGGGCAGACTCGTGCTGTTGAGAAAGGAGGGGCGCCCGGCGGATACCGCCGCCGGGTACCGTCCCATCGTGTTGCTGGATGAGGTGGGCAAGCTGCTGGAACGTATTCTGGCAGCCCGCATCATCCAGCATCTGGCCGGGGTGGGACCCGATCTGTCGGCGGAACAGTATGGCTTCCGAGAGGGCCGCTCAACCGTAGACGCGATCCTTCGCGTGCGGGCCCTCTCGGAGGAGGCCGTCTCCAGGGGCGGGGTGGCCCTGACGGTATCACTCGATATCGCCAATGCGTTCAACACCCTGCCCTGGTCCGTGATAGGGGGGGCGCTGGAACGACATAGAGTGCCCCCCTACCTTCGCCGGCTGGTGGGTTCCTACTTAGAGGACAGATCGGTCACGTGTACCGGACACGGTGGGATCCTGCACCGGTTCCCGGTCGTGCGCGGTGTTCCACAGGGGTCGGTGCTCGGCCCCCTTTTGTGGAATATCGGGTATGACTGGGTGCTGAGGGGTGCCCTCCTCCCGGGCCTGAGCGTAATCTGTTACGCAGACGACACGTTGGTCGTGGCCCGGGGGGGGAGTTTTGCTGAGTCTGCCCGTCTTGCTACGGCTGGGGTGGCGCATGTCGTCGGCAAAATTAGGAGATTGGGCCTCGACGTGGCGCTCAGTAAATCCGAGGCCATGTGGTTCCACAGGCCCCGGAGAGTGCCACCTGTCGATGCCCATATCGTGGTTGGAGGCGTCCGTATCGGGGTCGGGGTGCAGTTGAAGTACCTCGGCCTCATTCTGGACAGTCGTTGGACCTTCCGTGCTCACTTTCAGAACCTGGTCCCTCGTTTGTTGGGGGTGGCCGGCGCGTTAAGCCGGCTTCTGCCCAACGTCGGGGGGCCTGACCAGGTGACGCGCCGTCTCTATACGGGGGTGGTGCGATCAATGGCCCTATACGGGGCGCCCGTGTGGGGCCAGTCCCTGGCCGTGGGG